CCTCTGCCCGGAGGGAGTTTGGAACGAGGGAGCTGGTGAGCAGCTGCATCTCCCCACCCTGCTCCCCCTTCAGGGGGCTTGTCATCTCTCGTCTGGACTTGTTCTCCCTGGAGGCCACCCTGCCCCCCACCCTGTGAAATCCATCTCCCACATTTATATGTTCTTACAGCAAATGTTTATGGGCCCCTGCGATCTCCAGGCACTGTGTTGGGCTGTGACCATACTGGGCTGAACAAGACAGAGGAGGTCTCTCCTCCCTGGGACTATCGCGCAGAGGGAGGTGGAGAAGCGAGAGGCACAGGATGAACCAGTGAGGCCGTTCCAGGCAGCGGAGCTGTTCCCAGGCAGCAGTAAAAGCTCTGAAGAGACAAAAACAGGGACGGGTCCAGGAGTGCCCAGGCAACCTTAGTGAGTTTGTCCAGGAGGCCTCTTGGAGGTGGGGGCACAGGAGCAGGGACCTGAATGGCGAGACGTTCCAGGATAAGGGAGCAGCCTGGGAAAGGCCCGAAGACATCGGGAGGAGACGCCGTGCAGGACCAGGACGTGTTGATGGTGTGGGGATGGGTGGGAGTGGGGGGCGGGTGACGTGAAGTGAGGTCGGCAGGGCACGCTGGGGCCACATCTCGAAGGTTCCTGCAAGCCTTGCTAAGGGTTTGGATGTGCATGTTGGGAGAGTTCATGGGGAGCCTTTCAAGAATGCCAAGCAGGAGAGTGTCGTGAAAAGAGCTCTGCCTACAGCCCATCACCCCCAGAGCAGTCTTTCTAAATGCCCGTGAGATCACACCCCTCCTGCGTCCCAGCTCCATCGGCTTTCGTGGTCCACAAGGCTGTGTGTGATCGGACTCCTGCTGCTGCTCTGGTTTCTTCTCTCTGGAACTGCTAAGCCCGGCCATGCGGGCCTGCCTTCTGCCGCTCCCATCAGCCACACTTCCGCCTGCGGCCTTTCTACTTGCTCTTCCCTCCACCTGGCCTCTCCTTCCCCCACTGAGGGCACCCACCTAGACCCTCCTCCTGCCACAGGCCTCTTTCCTCCCAGAGATGCTGAAGCAGCACCCTCAGGAGTCGCTTCCCTCAAGTGAAGCCCTCTCTCCGTTCCTCATGCAAACTTCCCGCATGCTTCCCTGATGGCCTGCGGGCGGCAGCCTCCCAGCGCTTGCCCTGGCCTGGGCACCCACTGTCCACCTGCCCGTCCCCACCTCATACACATAGAAACTCCCCAAGGTAAAGCATCTTGCCCAACATCCAGAATCATCAGCATCTGACACAGAGCCTGGCAGGCGATGTTGGCTACCAAGTGCTTAGCCTCAAATGGTGGGGGCACCTCATCCCCATGTACAGGTGAGAAACCCCAGCTGTGAGTGGTTGAGCCACTGACAACAGAGCTGGCTAATGGCAGTGCAGGTCACCTGTAACATGATCATCTCGCAGGGTGGGCTCTTGGACGGTTTCGTAGGGCCTCTGGCAGTCCTGTTTTCTGGATCAGTGGTACAAATTCGGGGTCCCACGTGGGCCAGATAGGGGATGAGACCAAGGGGAGTGGGCTGGGTGGGATGGTGGCCCTGTGCTTCCTGCTAATATAGGCCACTTCTTGAGGGAGGCCAGGAATCTGGATTTGATGAAGATACACCTTGGTTTTAATGTCTTTAGGCTGTACAAGCCGTTAGCAGCTTGAGGTGAAAAAGGCAGAATCATCTTCCCCAAAAGCTCAGAACCCAGCTGATCCCTAAGTGGGAATCTGTTCTGAACCAGGGTGCCTTCCCCTCCTGGGGAATTGCCAGCTTCGTTCTGGGGTGAACTACACCCCTTTCTTAAAAATTCCAGAAGCAGTAGTTACATTTGAAAACTCAGATGTTTGAATATGGATTGGGTATGAGGGAACACCAACAAATTACCATTAATTTTGTTAGAGGTGATCATGGCATTGTGGTTAAATTGGAAAATGTTCTTAGTATTTCAGAAATATACCCTGAAGTGTTGAGGGGTGAAATGTCATGATGATCAGAATTTTCTTTTAGACATTTGAGCAAAAAGGTAAAAATGATGAAGTAGGGAAACAGGTTAAGACTTTATTGAGTAAAGGGTTACGGGGGTTCATTACACCATTCGCTCTGCTTTTTGCCATGTTTTGAAACTTTCTGTAGTGAAAAATGAAAGGACAGTCACGGGGAAGAATGTAGTCTTCTGTGAGTTGTTCTGAGGTCTTCCCTGCCCCGCTGCGTCCTGCCAGGTCATGTGCGCCACTCAGGGAGGGGGTGTCCACACCCCCAGGATGAGGCTGAGACCCGAGGCAAGGGCGTCCAGGCAGAGAGGCTGGAGGTCAGGCCCCACAGTGACCGCCTTCCTTCTCTGCATGCTGTGAATGGCTCCTGCTGCAGCCCACCCGCAGGTGCAAGTTCTGTGAACTGCATCCTGGTTTGGGGAAGCCTGTGGTTGAGAAGGCCCGTAGGTTTTTCTTCTGTAAATTGGAGAGTATCTTCTGGATTGAGAGCAGCTCTGACTGCCCTCCGGCTGATGACCTGGGACCCTGCCCAGCTGCCTCCAGCTTCTGAGCCCTCGGGCAAGCCCCTTGCCTTCCCGAGCCTCAAATGCACTGTAAGGACGTGGTGCTGGGAAAGCGCTGAGCGCAGGGCATGAAGACAGACTGCACAGGTACCGCTGCTTGTTCTGAGCTGCTCGGGCAAAAACCGCTCGGCTGTCAGATTCAGATTGGGTTTTTTCAGGAGTTGGCAGGGGTTTCCAGGGACCGGCTGTCTCGAGGAATCTGTGCATAGTGGGGAAGGATTTGGGAGTCCTCAGGGTGGTGGTAACCTTCCTGCCAGCTCGCTGTTGGCCCTGAGCTGGGTGAGAAGAGGTACAGGTGAAGGTGGGCAGATTCGACCCCTGAGCAGGGTCCTCTGACCTTCACCTTGGGGGTCCTCACCTTCCTAGGACCCTGTGGCCCAGCCCAGCCCCACAAGCAGCACGAGGAGCCTCCCCCAGTCTCTTCTTATCGCTTTTGTGTTTCAAGCGTCCTCCTTCCAAAAAAGGAGAAATCCCCACGAGTTCTCCCAGGGCTGATTATCCGCTTTCCTGCCTCCCCGCAGCGGAGCCTCTGAAGCTGCCCTTGAGGGTTTCTCGTGCAGATTAAAAACTAGGCCTGATGAGCTCCATTCCGCGCTTACCTGACACATTAACCGCCTTCCCAAGGAGGAGCATCTAATTGCCAAATGATGGGTTGGAACTTGGAGACCATGCAGCAGACTCTGGCATCAGACCAGTGAGCGGAGCCCGGGTGGCTGAGCTCGGGGACCAGGACCCACAGCTCTCCTGGCCCAATGCCTTCGCTCTTCCTGCCAGGCTGCAGGAGATGTCAGCCCCGGCCTGTGACAGCGCTGGTGGTCAAGGGAGTGGCTGGCGGCAATGTTCAAGTGCCGTCACCCTCTAGAGGAAGGTCCAGCTGAGGCAGTGCATCAGGGGGTGGTTTCTGGCAAGAAGACCTTGCTGCGACCTTGAGGCAGCAGATGCTCCATGTTCCTTCCTCCCCCTGGCACTCAGAGGAGAGTGTCCAGGTGAAATACAGGACATCCAGTAAAATCTGAATTTCAGATAAACAATGAATAATTTCTTAGTGTAAATGTGTCCCAAATATTTCATGGAAAGGTTTTATTGTATAGGACATACTTGAATCCTGAAAAATTAGTTATGAATTATTGAACATGGAGTTATGAATACTGAAAAATTCATTGTTTATCTGAAATTCACATTTCACTGGGCAACTTGTCTTTTTGCTAAATCTGGCAACGCTTAAGAGAGAGTCCGCCTGCTGTGCTCAGGTCCTTGGCAGGGCTTTTGGTGACTAGGTGTGTTCTCAGGTGTCTCTGAGCACGTGGGCTCATCCAGTAGACTGTTCCAGAGCCCCAGACTGGTGGGGGGGAGGGGAGGGCTGTGGGTGTCCCCGTCTACTTGTGGGCCAGCAGCCCAGCCCTGCTCTGAGCCACAATTTCTCCATTTGTCACGTGAGTCTCCTCAGAGTACAAGGCTTCTTGCGTCCCTGTGAGGGTGAATGACCCTGTTCTCCTGCCACCCCCACCCCCCGCTGTCCTCTTCTCCCTGGCGTCCCCCACCCCAACCGGCCCTCAGGCTGGAAGGAGCATCACTTCCTGCCCCCACGCTGGCGGCAGTTTCCTTGTTGTAAGCCAGGGTCCTCAGTGCAGATGCATGAGCAGGGTGGGTTCTGGAATCTGTGGGGCCCCTCGTGCCAGAATGATTGAGAATTTCAGCACAGGGACAGCAGATTGTCACGTAGGTCTGAGTTCTGACCCCGAGTGACTGCCCAGGGCGCACGCCTGGGGGTCGGCCTTGCCAATGAGGGCCAAGCAGTCACCAGGTGGATGGGTAGGAGTGTGAGCAAGGAGGGGCCTGAGTGCGGAGGGGTGGGGGCGGTGCAGACCTGGGCCCTGGACCTGCCTCGGGGCCTCACTGGCAGCTCCCTGCCCGGAGCGGTCCTGGGGATGGGGCCTTGCCGCTGCATCTCCTAGTTTTTCCAGAGAGGGCGGAATTTTTTTTTAATGAAATCTTTCTTAAATAGTGACAGCTGGTTCATATTTCGGAATAGTCCCATGAAGGCATTCTCTGGCGGGTGGCATCAAGTGTGATTAGTATGTGTGGATCTACTGGTGTCTCCCCCCTGGTCCGCGAACTCCACCAGGGCTGCAGTAGTGACCATCTGTGCCCATGATTCTGTCTGGGTCCCAGCACCACCCTCAGCACATTGCAGTGCTGAGGCCTCGTTCATTCCTGGAAGCACTCCGTGGGGAGTTTCATGGACCTGCTTTCCCCACCAACAGTAGTCACATCGCACGCGTCTTCCCTGTTATTTAATGTGATTATGCGTGTTAAGCCTTTGCATGCAGCACTCGCTCTGGGTGGCCGTGACTGATGGTTGCGTGTTCTGCGGGTCATCAGTCTTTGGATGAGTGAGGAAAACATCCCTGAGCACGCCTGTCTGTCCTTTTTCCCAGGACGCCAAGTTCGTGGAGGAACGCAGGAAGCAGCTCCAGAACTACCTGCGCAGCGTCATGAACAAAGTCATCCAGGTGGTCCCCGAGTTTGCCGCCAGCCCCCGGAAGGAGACCCTGGTCCAGCTGGTGCCCTTCTTCATGTGAGTACCGGTCCCGTTCATGTGCTCCGCCGGCACGTCCTTCCTTGAGTCTTCTGAGGTTGGGCTGAGCGTGTGTCTGCGTCCTGGACACCCCGTGTCCCAGCGGGGCCCGTGAGCCTGCAGGTGCTGGTGTGGAGACTCGGGCCCGGACGCTGGGAGTTTGAAGGGCTTACGAGAGAGCAAGTCCGCACGTGAGCATTGTTGATCGGAGGTTCTCAAGAAATGCGGGGCTCTGTGGTTTTATGCCTTTGTACATTTTGATCAAAGGGAAGGCTCATTTTCTCTGTAGCTCACAGGTGTTCCAGAGCTCAGATGGTCTCTGTCAGGCTTTTTTTAAGCACGTGGGGATGAACCCAAGGAAACATCTCACAGACTTAAGTTATTTTCGTATTCATTTGACTTAGGTATGAACCAACTTAGAACTACATATAAATTCCTTGTTCTTATATGTCTTATAAAAGTAAAAAAAAAATTACTGGTGTCCCTACTTTATCACTGATTAGATACCCCTCTGTTCTACTAAGTCTCTTATTACATCGAGGCATTTACACCCTTGGATTCAGGGAACCCAAATGATGTTTTTAGAGTCTTAGCTGCTAGAGAATGTGATTAACACTCAACCCTTGAGCAACACGGGGCTTGGAGGTGCCCACCCCTTGCGCAGTCAAAAATCTTTATACAACTTTTGACTCCCCCGAACTTAACTACTAATAGCCTACTGTTGACCTTACCAGTCGCATAAACAGTCGATTAACACATATTTTGTATGTTTCTGGTATACCTACAACTATTTTATGCATTCACGCCATAGCTGGCTTTTTAAAATTTTTTTGAATATTTCTAGGCTATGCAGTTTATCTGTGAATTTTTTCAAATGGTTGCAGATCTCCAAAAAATTTTCCAATATACTTATTGAAAAATATCCCTGTGTCAGTGGATCCACACAATTCAAATCCATGTTGTTCAAGGGTCAACTGTATACTATTTCTAAAATGTTATCATCATAACGGAAATAAAAGATATGAAAATCCATATAGCAAAGCTGTGGATTTCTGAGAGTGGGGCTGGGACTCATCATTTGAGAAACACGGGTTTGCTGGACAGAACAGGTTTCCTTTCGCCATAGGTCTTTAAAATGGTATGCGGAGGAGGGTTGGGCGATCTGTTTCATTCTAACAGTGGTGCTGTGACTCAGAAACGGGCTTATTTCCACTTCTGTCTTATGGGGAGAGCCTTTGGCGTCAAACTTCCCAGCATTTCCAAGTCGAGCTTCCAGTGGACAGACATCGGCAGGACTGCCCCTCTTACCTGCCTAGGGCTTTGAAATTGCAGCCAAGTCACTTGCTTATGTCTTCCTAGTTGCTTCAGGACCTTTGTGCGAAGATACAGTTTTACCTGTGCTACCCGTGATAAAGAGATGCCTTTCCCCCCGAAATAGAATACACCATATGGAAAACTGTATTTTTCTTTTATTCAGTTATTTCTGCTACCAGGGCCTCCGTCTCGCTATTTTGAAAGTGCCACAATAGTTCATGAGAGGAGGTCCCCTTCTTCTTTTGAAGGCAGCCCCTGGCCTGCGATGCTTGATGGAAATCAGCCTCTCACTGAGTCATGTGCATTTTGGCCCAATTTCCTGATAAAAAGTGAGTCAGAGGGGCGGTCCTAAGACCCCGATGTGAAGAACAGCTGCCCCGTCAAGTCTGAGAAGACAACATGGCCTTGCACAGGCGAGCTGGTGTCCCCCTGCAGGGTGGGCGGCCCAGGCGGCTCTTGTGGAGCGTTTACCAAACATCAGCCCACAGACTTGTGACAACTGTACAGTGATGCGATCATCCCGACGTGTTGTGCGGTCCCAGCTGCCTATTGATCAGAGCCGAGAGAGAAAGCTTTGTGCCTGATTAGCACAGAGAACCTGGGGCTCAACTTCATGGGCTTTAAAAAGTACGCGAAGCGCGTCGGCAGGAGAGTGTGACAGATGACACGATGTTGACACCAGACTTCTGACTAAATGTCGGTCTAGACCCCAGTTGAAATTCAACAGCCCTCCTCTCAGCCCCACAGTAAGCTGCCGTCTCCTCCTTGGTCTTTTTCTAGCAAGATGGGATCACAGGTTAGAGCTTGTAGATGGTTTCCTTTGTGGGTAGTGAAGGTGCGCGCAGTCCGGTGTGTCTGATCATTTCCTGTCTGTGCTGCGCCCAGAAAACAGCAGGTCTGGTGTCTCAGCTCAGATGCTCACCCTGAGAGATTTCTAGTTTAAAAAAAGCTCTCTCAACTAAAGAAATAAAATCCCAAAAGCATGATTATTCTTAGAATCTTGACAGATTTCCTCTGGTCTTTCCAGTGCTGATTCAGGCCTTCCGGCTACTGAACACAAAGGAACTTGTTGACAAAGGATGGCCCTGCCCCGCCTCCTCCCCTCGTTTGCTGAGCACTTACTATGGGCACCGGCTGTAGGTTTTACCTGCTTATCTCATCTGTTAACTGGGTGGGCACCATATCTCCATTTTATTAGACGGAACCTTACAAAGTTGCCAATAAAAATTTCATAAGGTTCCACCTAATACTGATAAGGAAAGGTACCTGGTGACCCCAGGGTTACCTACCAGCCCATGCGGAGCTTGGGCTGTCAGGGGCCATAGCCCATGGTTTGGGGGCATGGTGGCAAGCCCACAGCCTTTGGATGGAGCCTGACCCTCTAGCTGTCTTATTTGACCATCTCAGGAAGGGCTTTGTTGTCTGTCTGTCTGGCTGTCTTTTAATCCACTTTATATATGGTAGTAGGTATCTGCTATTCCCAAACTCCTAACTTACCCCCCACCTCTCCCCTTTTTTGACCGTAAGTTTGTTTTCTATGTATGTTCATCTGTTTTGTTTTTGTAAATAAGTTCTTTTGTATCATTTTTTAGATTCCACATACAAGTGATATCATATGATATTTGTCTTTCTCTGTCTGACTCACTTCACTTAATATGACAATCTCTAGGTCTATTCATGTTGCTACAAATGGCATTATTTCTTTCTTCTTCATGGCCGAGTAGAATTCCATCCTACATAGATACCACATCTTCTTTATCCAGTTATTTGTCACTGGCATTTAGGTTGCTTCAGAGTCTTGGCTGTTGTGAATAGTGCTGCTGTGAACATTGGGGTGCATGCATCTTTTTTTATTGAAGTATTGTTAGTTTCAGGTGTATAGCAAAGTGATTCAGTTATACATGTATACTTTTTCAGATTCTTTTCCATCATGGGTTATTACAAGATGTTGAATATAGTTCCCTTGCTGCACAGTAGGGCCTTGTTGTTTATCTACTCTGTACATAGGAGTTAGTATCTGCCAATCCCAAACTCCCAATTTATCCCTCCCACCCCCATTCCCACCCCGGTAACCATAACTTTGTTTAGTATGTCTGTGAGTCTCTTTCTGTTTGTAAGTAAGTTTGTTTGTGTCACTTTTTTAAGATCCCACATGTAAGTGATATCACACGATATTTGTCTTTTTGTATCTAATTTACTTCACTTAGTATGATGATCTCTAAGTCCATGTTATTTTTCTTAATTGAAATGTTGCCAATATCAAAAAATTAGAAGGTGTCAGATTTTTTAAAAGTCAGATATCAAGCTTCTCTTGAAAAATCAGAATTGGTCACAGCCTCTTGTGGACTGAATGTTTGTGCCACCCACATTTATATACTGAAGTCCAAGTCCCCAGTGTGGTGGTACTTGGAAGTGGGGCCTTTGAGAGGTGATGAGGGTTAGATGAAGTTGTAAGAGTGGGGCCCCCTTCATGGGATTGATGCCCTTAGAAGAAGAGCAAGAGACACCAGAGAGCTCTCTCTCGGCCACGTGAGGGCGCAGTGGAAAGGCACCATCTGTGAGCCAGGAAGAGAGCCTTCACCCAGAACCGAATCTGCCGGCGCCTTTATCTTGGACTTCCAGCCGCCAGAACTGTGAGAAATAAATGTCTGCTGCTGAAGCTGCCCTGTCTGTGGTATTTTGTTACGGCAGCCGGGGCAGACAGATACTCACTCCGTTCCCACTCGCCCACACTTGGCTACAAACAGTGCTGCCCAGTCGCTGCTGCGCCCCCAACTTTGCTGTCTCCTGGACACTGAGCTGAGCCTTCCCTGCCATTTGCCGCTGGCGTTTGGCTGTCTTTCTCCCATACTCACTCATGCTACCTGCCTGGCGCCAGGGGAGACTTGAATGTGCAGTCCTGGCTCTTACCTTCTGCTCAGCCAGCCTCTCCGTCTTGGCTTTGGATGTGTGGTACCCAAGGTGCATTGCTCACACTCTGCTCCGGTGTGTGTTCTGCCAGCTCATCCACTGCTGAACGTCAGTCAAGGTGGTTCCTTTCCAGGGTTGGGGCGGGAGAGGCAAGGCGGGCAGGGGATTAAACCTAGTGGGCGGAATTTTCTCATTTTTCTTCACAGATGTTCTTAAACTTTCTGGCTTGTACAGCCTGGGGTCCAGTATTCAATGGCACCTGCTTTTACACACTCTGCTCTATTTTATTTTTTCTGTTTAATGTGTTAGTATTTCACTGGGTTCTGCAAGGGGCATCGTGACTTCCAAGTCCTCTGCCATCTGCACAAACCTGAGAGTTGAAGAATCAGCAGGTTGAATTTTTTTCTCCAGATCTCTCCGCCTCCCGTTGCCTTCCTTGCTGCTGCCGGCAGCAGTCGGAATTAGAAAGTAGGACAGTAGGAAGTGGGCCATTTCTTTTCCATTTTAGACTCTGTGTATCAGTCTGGCCCACGTGGGGACCGGAGCCTGCCCCCCAAGAATGGTGAGCAGACAAACAACGCCCCCTAATGCCCTCCTCCTTTGGGGGCCCCATGTCACTGGCATCCATGGTGTTTCGGGGGGAAAGACGGACACTGAGAGGTGACACGTGGCAGACGTGAGCAGATACTGAGGGAAGTCTCAGGTGCTCCTTTGAAAGTGCGCTAATGAAGGGAGGCCAGGATTCCAAGCACTCATCCCGCGGAACTGGGGACCGC